TTTTTTCTATTTAAGTCTGATTCAACTTAAACTTTGGCCAAAATGCAGAAATGTCCTTAAAATGTCCACATTGTTCCCGTCTGATACCTGAGAATACAATTGATGTTGTGCTGCTTGAGAAGGGTCACCTCAGTCAGCAAACATCTAAGCATGTCATGCTGAGCAATAATCTCCCCAGTGAGCGATGGCTCAACAGAAAGGCTGCCGGGGTTTTCTTGGTATCAATCCAGAGACCTCAGCAAAACATTAGATTGATTTTCAGTTTCATTTCTGCTGCCCTTTGTCACACAGTGAGGATGAAATACTTATTTAAAAACTGCAGCAGTAGTAAGAAAAGCCCAACATGTGGTACCGTCTATTAGAACACGTGACAGCGCTCGTTAGGATTAACATGTAAGAGTCGGTTTAATTAGCTGTGTTGGATGTGTTCAGACCTGGCAAAACAAACATATACACATATTTTACTATGTATAAACTGTATATCTGGTGTTATATTTAAAGCATATAAGTAACGTGATGACAGTGATTAATTGAATATCTGATCACACTTTTAAAGCGATAGCGTCGACGAGACCTTGAACGTTCCCGAGCATGTCACAGCCGAGCACCGCGGTCTTGCCTGTAAGTCGTAACTTCCTCATTCTGAGCAAACCACACAATATTCCCCCAGCTGCTCTGTTGCATTGCCATGCCCTCTGGCATACATCAGTGCAAAGAGGGAGAGAGAAGAGAAGGGATAAAGCTGAGGAAGGATGGGTTTTATGTATCTTGCCTCCTTATGCTTTGGCATACTTTGATCTCATTCCTGTGCGTGCCGGCTGTCTGCAGTCAGTAGGATGTGGCACCACGCTGGGTCTCTAGTGAGACCTGGATCTGGTTGTCGGGCAAAGGAAGTCACTCGCTCTGAAATGAAATTTGGAAGTCTGTATGTGTTTGCGTGTCACGCGAGGAGGGGGGAGGGGGTTTGGCTTGGCTGCTGGTTGATGAAGACATCAAAGCTCATGACTTATTTGATTTTACATAGCTGCATTAATCCGCACTTCAAGGTTGCACAACACACAAAATACTACAGCGCCGACGGGCTGCTGCAGATAAACTATACAAGATATGTACCAGAATAAACAGAGGAGACGTATACGATTATTTTCTATTTTGAGACGAGGAAATTGTTAAAAGTCAGTGAAGTGCTCCGCGCAGCCCGGCGAGGGTGCGTTTGGTCTGCTGGAAGTGATCTATTAGGAAACAGTTTGCACATCCTCACTTTCCTCAGGTTTAATTAGCAGCTGCGTATTGATTGATTCTTCTGCTACAACGAGCTCTCACTCTCCTCGGTGACAACAACACACTCCTGTTGCAGCTCGGTTTATGTACAGAGGAGGAAAAATACGCTCACCTGGACGCTTAAACTGATCGTACATGGGTTTACCTGTTACGTAGCCATGCTAGCTAGTCAGACCTTTTGTATTTTAGGCCTTTTTCCCCCTATTTTGTTTGTTTTTTGCTGTTAGCAGCTGCTGCAGGTTGATGAGAGATTCTGGGCTGGAAATCTTAAACGATGATTATATACGAGGCTGTAGTTTGTGACTCTGAGCAGCACCTCTCACTCAAGGATCTGCTCATATTAAACATATATAAATAGATATTGATTAGAGCAGCTTGAGGATAACTTGGAAAGAAAAAGTATGATGAGCCATAGAATACTGGCGCTTTGTACTCTTGAATAATAAATAATAATGTGAGGATTTGTCTTTTCATAGAGCAACATTTGAACCCTGGGAAGCGACCGGATGTGTGAGAAAACTGTAAATTTCTATATCTGTCCAGCCAGTGGCTGAGCGTGCAGGCGGGGGCACATGTAATCAATCATGTTTTCTGTGGGGAGATGTGTGATGTCAAGGACAGGGCAGCTGTTTGCCTGCACTGTCCTCTTAGCAGCCAGACTCGGGACGTTTATCATTCATCTCCTGGGGGGGTGAAGAGAATTTAAGACGGCTGTTTGTCTGTATGTTCAGGTGTTCGGATTCTTCTCGTCCAGAAAGCGTCCAGCCCTGTTTGCTTCCCTGCAAGAAGGACTGCGTGGTGACACCCTTCAGTGAATGGACCGCCTGCCCGTCAACCTGCCTTCCAGGTAGCTCATCACACGAATTTCTATGAACTCATTTTCAAAATGACTCTCTAACAGCTCCACAATCTGCAGGAAATTAGCCAGATATTGTGATGGAGAACGCCCTCCGTACCTTCTTGTCTTTTTAACCCTCTGAACATTTTCCTGGGCTTTTTTTTTTTGCATTTTTCTTTACTGTGGGCTAACTTTTCTTTCCTGCACCTCTACGGGAACAACACCAGAGATAGCAGAGGGAGTTCAAACATGTCTTCTCCCACATTTATACCATGAATCATGAAGAAGGGAAACCTGGATTTCTAAATCCCTGTAGGTGTGGCGACTCTGCACACTTTAAATAATTTAATTTCTTACATTTTTATTCTGTCTCCTGTTTGCAGCTCACATAACAGCTGACTGATGGTCACAGCTGAATCCATCACAGCGTCTCTGTCGTGTAGAGGAGCTCAGGGTTTTATTATTTTGGTCTTTTACAGAATCTGGTTCTATTTTGAATGAGACCTGTAGAATAAAGTGGGTTTGATGTAATATCAGTTTATTAATATTATTTTTTCTGATGAAATAAGTACGTCATAGTGAGTAGTTCAAGGGCTGTGGGAAAGTTGAAAATCCATTCAAACCCAACAGTGGGGCTGGAACTCAGTTTTGTAAATAACTGATTTATTGTGGTAGACAATGGCACAAATTAGACATTCAAATGTATGTTATTTTCTTTTAAAAAATGCTTGTTGTATGTCATTTATATACCCGTATGGTTCACATTATTAGACGATTATTCAATTGTTCTATTGACAAACCCATAAGTATTAAGTATTATCACACGCTTTTTTAAAAGCTGATTTAATTTGGTATTAATGCAGATTAACCCTCTTAAGATAGGAGCCACTTATTATGTACTGAATATTATAGATTAGAATTAGAATTAGAGTTAGAATAAAACTTTATTAATCCCTGCGGTACAAGACCTCAGGGAAATTACTACACCAAAAAACAACACAACACCAACATAAAACCAGCAACAAAACAACAGCATTCAAAATTCAAATCAAATCAGCATTCAAATTCAGCACGTATAACAATAAATAATAATACAAAAAATGCCTCCTTTTAGAAAAACTTCCTCATTGATTCCTTTAGAAAATCTGCAGACTGCGCTTGTCAACGTTTTAGGTAATTTCACATTAAATAAATACAACTGCTTCTTATTGACCATCACATTTAACATTATTGAAGACAATCTTTGTCTTCGTCATCAAGAGACATGGACTGGTTTCTCTGGTTTAAATCTTAGATAACAGAATTAGACAACACATGTGAAACAGTGACGACGATGCGACCCAAAGCAGCGTCCTGGGAACTTTGCCGTTCGGCCTCCTTAGTTTGTCAGCACGGCGTGAATCTTCACAGCTGTGTTTGTGAAGCCAGAGGACACGAGTATCTGTCAGATCTAACTGACCTTGTGTGAGCCGTTAATGAGCGGAGCAGCGAGAACGTTCAGATGCTAAATGAAGATAAGACACCACAGATCCGCCTGGTTGGTCCAAAACAAAAATAACAAGGATCCAAAACAGGACGTCTGACCTTGTAGATAACGTTATGTTCTGACCCTAATGTTAGACTCCATTTTAATTCTTTGACACACACACAGTCTTTTATTCTTTACACAGTATAGCGGCTGTAAGAGCTCCTCTGAGCTGCTCATTGCTTTAGTTCCTCGTCACCATCCTGAACACTGTGACGCTCCTTCTGCTGGCAAATCAAACCGTCGTCAGAGTTTTAACAAACAACTAAAATGAAAGCTCTCATAACTGCAGTTTAGAGCAACCTAAACGAGCTCGCTGTTTCTTTCAGAATTGGTTTTAAGTCGTTCCTTTAGCGAGCGCCACGCCGCCTCGCCCCCTCTGATATCACAGACTCCCTGTCGCGCTGTGATCCTCCACAAATCCTAAGATCCTCCACAGCTGCTCTTTTAACTATTCCCAAGGTCGCCACGGAAACCTTTGGGGATGCTGGATTTAGCTATTACGCCCCAAAAATACGTGACACTCTGCCTTTAAATATTAGACGCTGTGACTCAGTGGACGAGTCGAAATGTTTTTCATTTAGCCTGCAAGTGTTTTAATTTATCTGAAGGAGTCGTATTCACACAATCAGCATCTGTTCCTGCTCGTGTGAAGCTTTTATTGTGAAGCACTTTGAGCTGCAGTTTGTGTATGAAAGGTGCCACAAATGTAAGGTTCATTCATTCATTCATTCATTCATTCAGACGTGCTCTCCCACAATGTGTCTGGTGTCCTGATTGATTACATTTAATTGTAAATGACGGTGTTAACTGTCCATTATATTAAGCTGACTCATCAAGAGGAAAATGGATATTTAATGGATTTCAATGTGTGTACTGTAGTATCTTGGAAATCAGAAAGTATGTAATTGTTTTTAGAAGAATTGAGCGGGCCTCTCATCTCTGTAAATATGCTGTAGTCCATTGGGTCTGTTGATGATGTAATCACTTTCTTAATTGCACCATTTTCAATGTTTAGTAATTAGTGTTGTGTAATGAGCCTTGGAGCATGAGCCAAATGAAGCCATTACGGCGCGCTGTGTCCGAAAGGAGACTGCAGTGAAGCAGAGGACATCGCAGCCACAAGGGCACGCTAATCAGGATCAGATCAATCCGGAGACCGCTCGCTTTCTGGCCATTTCTCTGAGATGTGAGACTCCGCTGGTGAAACTGAGTCTCCATTTGTTGTGTGTGTGTCAGACGTTTGTCTCCGTATCATTTTACATTCTCTCCCTCCTGGAAAATGTTCACTTAAATTCAGCCGCGCATCTGTTCCTGTTTCTGAAGATTGTGTTTCATGTCCAACAGAAAACGCGACCGCCGCCACGCAGTCCCGCTACAGGACCATCACTCAGAGGTCCGCTAATGGAGGTCAAGAGTGTCCTGACACGCTGTACGAGGAGAGAGAGTGTGAATCACTCCGAGTGTGTCCGCTGTATAGGTAAAAGCACCATTTATAAGGAACTGCTTACAGATAAGTTCATTTAATACGTCTGCTGCAAGGTGAGAGCTGTACATGTGACCTGTTTCTGAACACCAGGCGTCAGGTCGACGCGTTAAAAAAAACTACTTCAGATGTGTAACTGAGCTGAGAAATTAGAAAAGTTTGGAAATGTGTGGTGTTGTGCCTGAGATGGTCAGAATTACTGGTACAAGGTTAAAATAATTAAAACGATTTAAACAGAACGACAAACTAAACTTTAGTGATGCAGTGGGAATGAGCAACAGCTTAATGAGCTAAATGCTGCAGAAAAACACAAATTAATGAGGAAGTGAGACAGATGTTGGTAACTTATCGCTGTTATTTCTACGATGAGATGAGCTGCACCAAACACCAGGTAATGACGGGCAGGTTTTATGGTTCATTATTAAATGAAAGGTCACAGATTACAACCTGTCTCATAAAGTCGTGATGCACGAGTCGTGTGACGGAGAAAAAGTGGCAAATACAAAATCAGACTTTAAAATCCAACATGACAGGCAGCAGCAACAGGTTTTCTTCTTTTTTTCTTTTTTGTTACTAATATTTTCACTAAATGTAAAATACCTGCGATTTGGCTGCATGTTGCTCAAGAAATATTTTACTTTGACATTTGCCTGTTTGTTGTTATGACTTCAGTTTAATGTCGCCCCACGTGGACGTATTTAAATAAGTCACCATGTTGGTTATATGTAATAATCATTCTAGTTCACCAACGATTTTCTTTAAAGATTTATTTCATTGATTGACTTTTACTGCAAAGCAAGAAAATTATACACCCTAAGTAAATATAATGTGAACTTATGTGTGTAAATAGGCTACATACTAAACAGCCTAATGAAATAGTTTAGATTAGATTATGCAAATGACATAAATCACCGTAATCCTGACTCATAGCGATATCAGATTATCAGATTATTTGTGTAATTGAAGCATCAGATGACGGTGGGAGGAGCTGCAGGATTTAAAGGCAGTTGTATGACTTTAATCACAAAGCGGTCGATATCGTTTATCATGGTTTGTAATTTGCAGTGTTTAAAATTTACCGCCGACTATTTTAAAAGTGAGAAAAACGATTAAATCATTCCTCGGCTGACCTAATCCTTCAGCAATATCTGACAATTGTTTCTGCGTATTACTAATAATATAAATGCTGGTTAAGAGTTTATTTGTGCTCATGTTAGTTGAAGTACGTCTAAATCAGTGAAAACCCAAAGTGCACCAACACAGTATTTAAGCAGCAGAAACATTCATCACGTTATTTTATGTTTCCAGCTGCGTTCCCACCAAACGCTGATCCAGCTGGCAACGCGGCCGTCGCAAATCGCACAAATTTAATAACATCATATTTTTTTCTTAACCGTGGCGGCGATGATGGCGAACTGTAGCGCTTCCTGCTTTTGTGCTCACGGCCTGCATCTGGTCCACATCAACCATCACCAGCTAACACGTGTGAGAACAAGATCGCGACACGTTTAACCTTTTCTGTGCACAGAAGCTGCAGCGATGCCTCGCCGTGGTAACATCTTTCTCTCTTTCTGTGTAGGTGGAGGACACACAAGTGGCACAGCTGCACTCTGGTTCCCGATTCTGTTCGACGGGGATTATCTGGACCGGCAGAAGCCTGTGGAAACGGCTTAGAGACGAGAGGCAAGTCTCCCACCTTGTGTCCTCCATCCTTTATTTCCTCCAGACAGCTGTTGCTATATCACCTGTTTGAAGCTTTGCTCTTCCATCTATTTACTGTCCTTATTTAATGAGACTTAATAGCCCTCTCAGAACAACCCCTTTAACAAGAAAGTGATGGAAACATTAAGGAAGGAGGCAATTTGTTCAGTGGATGTAATGAGATGAACCTTTCCGTCTGCTGTCGGCGTGATCTCATCACAGCGCTGGTTTCTTATTAATGTATGTCACAGTCACGTCTTATCAGCAGGTTGAAAGAAATAATCAACCCTTTGTGCACCAAGCAGTACAGTACATGAAGATACTCATTTAAAAAAACATGTGAAACGTGCTCAGAGTCCAGCGCTCTTTAATAACCACATGATGAAGATGTGTTTAATAGTTTGGGCTCCATAAAGTTTAGAAACATGTGTTCAAGCTCGATCTTCTAGATTTGTTTTAGATGTTTGTGTGAAAGTGAGGCATAATTACCATATAGGATTTTAAATTATGGGGGAGAAACACTTTGAAAGATCACAATGACGTCTGACGAACAAAATCAATCAGCTAATTGCTGAGTGGAAGTTAACGTTTATGCTGGTGTGTTTGTGCCACTTGTGGGACTCCGATGTTTCCCCTTAAGTCACGGCAGGTTTGTTTGTAGAGCACAGTTCATACTGGAGGTGATTCAAAGTGATTCACACAAAAGTATAAGAAGATAAAATCAGTCCACAGAAAAATAAACACAGTTATTAATTAATTACATTAAAAGCAAAGAAACAGATAAAAATCAAGCCATAAAAACATAAATATAATCATTAATTAGCTGTTTGGTTTGGTTTTGACACGTCTGAAGCTTCTCCCTTTAGTTCCTCGGTTACCGGGGTAACAAGCCCCGCCCCTTCTAATAAGCGATTGGCTGAGTGAAGAGGAGCGACAGTGGAGGAGCTGTTGTTTGTTGTTTCCCTCAAAATGTAATCGACGATGCACTTTCCTGTTTTCTATCAGGAGAACATGGTTTTCAGGAGGCAGGATGCAGCAAACAGACTCCATTTACTCTTTAGATGACTTGTCCAGTGTTCACCTCTGAGATAAAAAATAAATAAATCAGAAGGGATGTTTTATAAGTTTTATGATCCATTAATTTGACAGAATGTCCATATATGTTGTTGGACTTTGATGCAGCCCATCAATTCCCCCATAAAGGAGCGATATCTATATTATGATCATCGGGGCAAACGGGGCAGACGGTCACACCGGGACAAACAGCGACCCGAGTCACAGCCTCTGAACAAGTCACATTAGCTTCCCTGCCCTTCGTCTAACTTACAAACCCGAGCACACATTCGTCCCACACCTCGGCTTGTTGAATGAGCCAGCAAACACACATTCACTGAGGGAAAATTGCATCCTTTCATAATGACAAACTATTACCACCTCATTGAAAAAAACACACTGAGCTTTCCTTTTTTTTCCTGTTTTTTTTTTGAAGAGCAGTCTCAGTGTGCTTTCAGCAGGACTGTACCGTGTTATTTATTTACCACGTTTCATCTTTTTAAGCAACGTATGTCAGCATCTCATTTGTTTTGGTGAGATGACACCCGAATGCAGCGCCTCGGCTCCCCAAACATGTTCAGATAAACGCCCGTCATGTCAAATAACGCGTCAGAATAACGTGGTACGTGCTGCTACGTCCAACATAAGAAAAAACACCGACATGATTTTATCTAACATCTTGTGCAAATATCATAATTTGCTCTTCTGAACCTTGGCTAGCATGTGATCATCTCATTTATTATGCCGTGTGAACGTGCTGCTGTGTGTTTTCTGATCGCTGCAGATCATTCCTGTGTAATATCCTCCGTGAAGGTCTCTGCTGCTCTCAGCGGAGCAGCGAAAACAACCGCCATTGGCCCAAATCGTTAAAAAGCCAGAGTGTTAATTGAATCATTTTGCACTCGTTTATAGGCAAGCTAACGTCCCAATAAATCCCAGAAACTGTCTGTTCTATCTAATTTACTTCTGTGATTCCAGGGAAATTTTCTGCTGTCTGGAGAACTTTCCAGCATTTCTGCCCTCAGCGTCCCTCACTCTCACTCGGCAGTATAATTATGACTGACATTTCTCAAGTGAATTTTTATGACTTTTCGACGAGGGTGGGAGAAGTGTTTGTACTGTTCCCAGGTTAAGAGCAAGCCTCATTGACCTTTAGAGCTTCGTATTTGAATATGATTAGAAAATGGCTAAGTTAAATACCTGTGACATTTCAAAACCTGAAGTATGAGAGTGGCATTTGCAATCGCTAGAAACAGAATTTAAATGTAGATTTAAAACAACAAAGACTTTAGAGTCTACTTTCAATTTTCGATTCAATGAAAAGGACACATAAATGTCAGATTGGGGCATAATTAGGACACAATAATTGGGACTGGGGCCACGGTTGGGGCAGAGACACAACGGTACACCAAAGATTTAAGGACAGAAAGTTAACAGAACCTTTACAGATGATGCTGTCTGCCTGTATGAATACTTAACTTTAAGTGTAATACAATCTAATTAATGCTATATTGGCACGAGCTTTGTTTGGTAGAACTGTGTCAGACATTGAATAGACAGAGAATATACACATTGGAGAGAAACCAGACCATTGCTCACAGACTTTCTGAACATTATCGACTCTTTCAATCTTACACCGTCGCCAACTGGTCAACTCATGAAAAGGGGCTGGACACTGGATCTTTAGGATTAGTAAAATGTTCACTATATAGCCATGGGATCATCTGCCTGGTTTAATCGTTGCTACTGTCCCTTGTTCAGGAGTAAAAACGTCTGCAAACCCTTTAACTATGTCGTAGTTTTCTATTGATTCTAAGTACGCCGTTCTCTGCACCTTGGAGGGAGAGCATGCTGCACCATAAGATGTTTATCTGACTTCAGTCCAAAACATTGTCTGCCTGTCGGTTGCTTTTCTACGTTTTTCTTCAGTTGTATCTTGCAGTAATTTTCTAACCTTCATTAATCCATCTTGTTGACATCCATCCATTTTCTGGACAGGTCACCGGTCCATCAGAGGTGTTTAAATCCACATAAATGCATTTTTTATTTTATATTTTAAAGGAAATCCCAAATATTACACCAAATTTGCCATGTTTATATAATTATATAGATCTTCTTGGCTGCTCTTCCAAACACTGTGAGGTTCCTGTGGAGTGCCACAGGGACACATTTTAGGACCTTTACTTTTCTGATTGGTGTACGCTGCCTGTGCTATTAAGGGGGAATGGCATGCCTTTCTAAAGCTATGCTGATGACACTCAGCTCTATGGAGCCGCATCTCCTGATCGCTAACTGATTCCCGTCTACGTTGTATTTTAGATTTAAAGACTTGGATGTCACAGAATTTGTTCCAGCTCAAGCAGGATAAATCAGAAGTATTGATCACTGCTTCAGAAAGTGGCCCCCAAACCAAATATACTCAGTCTGAACCCGAGCAAAGCAGAAATAAATCCAGGAGTGCTTTTTGACTCTAATTTTATTTTTACGGCTTCTGTGCAGAGTGTCACAAAAAATAGCGTTTAATCATCTGAAGAACATCTGAAAAGTGAGGCCGTTTCTCTCTGAGAGAGAAACTGATGCACACTTTTATAACAAGCAGACGATTCTGATGCTCAATTATCAGGTTTTCCCAGGAGTACAATCATTCAGCGACGGTGAGTTCAGAATTCTGACGCATGAGGACTGATCTGGACCAACAGGAGAGCACACGGTACTTCTGGCTACCTGCAGGTTTTTCTCAGTGATCTGAAGGTTCTTGGTTTAGTTTTGGAGGCGCTGCATGGCCTTGCATCAGGCTGCCTCTGTGAAATGAGAACCAGGAGGCACACTGGGATCCTTTGGTTCTTCTCTTTTCGCTGTTTCACAAAAAAACAAACAAACTGGTGATGCTGCTGTCGGCCATCAAGCTCTGAGCGTGTGGATGGAACGAGAGGAAAATATAAATACTTGTAAACTAAAGACAAATTGATTTGAGTGATTAGTGTTTTCATACTTATTTGAATCATTATTATTATTTTATTCTATTTGTATTTTGATCATGCTCCTGTTTTTATATGGTCTATTTATTATTTTGAACTTAATTGTAGTTCTTTTTATTGATTGTGTATTTTTCTCTTTTTAAATATTTCGTTTTATTCGTCAGTTTTGTTGTGCATTAGTCTTTAAATCCATTTTAACTCTCTTGTGTTTTGTTAGTCATTTATAAAACGCTTTGAACTGCGTTTGATTTGTTTGAAAGAATATGAAATCTAAAAAATACGTTGACTGAATGAAATAAGTTCAAAAAAATAAGTATTTAAAACTATCTTGTATCCATTCGATAGCATCTTTATAATAAATACTAAATTGTGGGAATTCAATGCTGATAAATCTTAAATCCACAGTTACTGGTAATATTTTTAATCTTAGATGTGACTTTAGAAGTTAATAACATCGTCTGTTTTTGCACGATTGAAACGTGTTATCAGAGAGCGTTATTGTTCAGCTATGAGGGACATTCCAGCACATTGTAAAGCCGGCAGAGTGTGACGCTCCAGGCGACGCTCTGCTGGGAAAACCTCTGGACCTTGAGCCATTCATGTGGATGTTTCTTCACGTTATGATCAGCTGCTTAAACATCGCTGCAGACCACATGTACTATACACGCCGATAGCGGAGCTCTTTCAGGACAATAAAGCTCAGGAATGGTTTGAGGAACACAACAGTCCCCCAGACCTTCATCCAAAGGAGCATCTGTAGAATGTGCTGCAAAAACAAGTCAGACCCGCCGAGGCCCCACTTTGCAGATTACAGGTCTTAAACGATCTGCTGCTAACGTGTTGCTGCCTGATGCCACAGGACAACTCAGGAGGTCTGGTGGAGTTAACGCCTGGATGGGTCAGCGCAGCGGGGACCCAGACAGCTGCTTTTAATGTTGTTTATAGGCTCAGCATTAGGCTGTGGTCCTACAGTGTCGCGCCGTGCTTCAGGGTGTAATCATGCTTCTGTAACTTCTGGCCACAAGCAGCCAATGAAAGTGCTTCTCGTGTGACTGCGCCGACATTTGCCGCGGCGGTAAAAAGCACCCGAACCTCAGCTGTTGTAAGAAGTTCAACGCTGCCTCCGTTTCCACATCTGCATCCGTCACTCATCTACATTTTTCCTTTGACTTGTACTCATTCTTCATCCAATTATCCCAGAATGACGGCGTTAAAGCCAGACTGTGGATCGTGTGCAGGGTCCTGAATCTGCTCATCGTATTGTTTCAAGCCCTCGACCGGCTGAGCGCTAACACCAGACACACATTTATGGTAGAATCCTCTTTCACTAAGTAGCGCTGCTGGTGCCAGTCGCCCGTTTTAGTCGTAAACTGAAAGTTTCAGTACAAAAAAACTGCACTGCTCTGGAAAAATCAGTAGATGGCGAGTGATGACACAATGCTAGCCCTTAAGAATAGTTCAAAGATCAACCGGGGAGTTTCTGCGCGGTCAAAACCCGGGCTCAGGCCGGTACTGTACGGCTAGAATAACATCCAAGGTTAGCAACAAACATTCGATTGGGCCTGAGGTTTGCTAAGCCAATATGCCCTTGGCTTGAGTAAATGCTTCCTTCCATCTCAGTGTGTGTTTGGCCCCATGTCGGATGCAAGGCTGCATGTTGAATGAATGCTAATGTCTGACCGGGTGCAGAATGAGGTGAGGGATGCGGTGCATCTGCCGGCCTGATCCGCGGGTTAAAGCTCACAGATGAGAGGCATGGCTAAATGGGAAGATCTGAGGAGATGGATTCACTAAAGAGGACGTGAAATCGTGGGGAGACCTGCGTAAATGTGTCGCTGCTAACTTGGAGAAGAGCGACGAGCTAATGCACTTCACACCAACTGCAACACACTGTGTCTAAATTCAGCCAAATTGTGTCTCCCAACCAGCTGGATGTGTTATATTCCTCCCAGAGCTGAACTGGAACTGTTGTGAGAAATTATTCAATAGAAAGTGAGTCATGCTGATGATCTTTTGCTGCAGGAAAAATGTGACTTAATGGCTATGATGAATCCAGTTCACATTACTGTTCACAATACATTTTATTGAGGAACATTATACAGGCGGTACGACTGAATTAACATAAAGATTATATTTGACGGCAGGTGGGCGGCTGAGGTGTTATGTGCATTAAAAACTTGGCATTAAAAGTAATGGTAGAAAATGTAACCGGGTTGTCAGCTATCAACCGAGAAAGAAATTATGGTTTTTAGACAATGTCATCACACCTACAAGTCGACAATATTAACTTGGAGCATTTCAGAAAACCTGGAGTGTGGCAAGCCTCTTCAAAGCCTGTCCTTTCAAACGGCCCCGAAAGATGTTCACCTCTCCCAGTAAGTGTATAATCAAAGATGATCCCTGTCGTCGGTGGACACACTGTGACAAAAATGCCACCTTTTGTGCGAGAAGATGATGTGAAAGGCCACACAAATGCCCCTCGGCAACCACAGACTGAAATAATTATTTTAAAAAACGGATGGTCCCCCCAGTTCAGAATCAGAATGTCGGCGCTGGCAGTGCAGCGCTCTGCTAATAAAAGCCACTGGGAATGACAGAATGGGGTTTCCACTGGTGGAGCAGGTGAGAGACGAGTGCATTCACAGGTAAATGGAAAGAAATAAAAGCCAGCATAGGAAACAATTATCCCCACAGTGGTGACAGCTGGTTGTTTTTATAACCGCTTATGAAAAAGGAGAAGTCAGATTTGCCTGTGAAGGTTCATCGTGAAGCCCCTTTAACTTAAACGCACACATTGTGGAGTTAAAGATCCTTTTGTGAAGCTCGGCCCGTTACATAAACGTAGCTCACCAGCAGCTAGCGTACGCCGAAGCCTTGTATGTAAATGAGCACCCCACGCATCCTCGGCAGACACGGACAAACCACACAATTTTTGTCAGAGGGCAAAATTTAAAAGTCAAATAGAAATCAATACAATGGATTAAAGGCATGTTTGTAGATCAGTGAATCCTCACAGACAGCGAGGCGTTGGGGGGGAGGAGGAGAAGCTTCCTTAAAACCCGTTCATGTGCGATTGTCTGTTTTTATGCATTGTTTAAAGAAACTTGAGTCCGTTTAACTGTTCGTCTGCAGTCGGTGACACCCGGGACGGATATAAATGCCTCTGATCACACCTTCCTCTCTCGCACTAAGCGTACCACTTCATTATTGTCACCGTGCTCATCCTGCTAACATCATACAGTCCGTGTTGCTCTTTTTTTTTTTTTGTCACTTTCATATGCGAGTGAGAAATGTGAGAAAGAGTCGGCCATGTCTTTTTGTGGAAACCGTATCTCACAAATGGTAACAAATGACCTTTATCCGCCACGTGTTCTCTCTGTAGATTAGATGATTTGATTTCGAGCACCTTTGTGCATATATTTGCATATTAACAAGAAGTTCTCTGACAGTGTATAACGAACTACTTATAAAATATGCATGCTCTTAAGACATTTGTGTGAATATTTTTCCTTTTGATGCTCCGTTTACCTCACACCTTATTTGCATAGTTGATTGTGGTTAATGTATGGCGCACATTAAACTTAGATTGTTAAGGAGCACAAATACATCCTGCTTTGTAATGTGATTACTTATGATGCAGGCTGCTCTCAGTCATCCAGCTGACTGTCAAGCATTACCTCTGTTTAGTGTCTCAGACCTATCGTGGAAATAAGCTCGTATCCTTAAATGAGAAAACAAACACGCTGGTGGGTTGTTGGTAAATTTAATGAACAACATGGAGAATAAGAGGAAATTAAATCATTATAATAAGTACATTACTGCAATGAGGAGACGCCTCACTCCTCTCTTCTATAAAAAAAGAATAAGAGTGATGCTAATTTATTATAGTTTGTAGGTTTAAACTAGTAGTTTTCTATACCATTAGAAACCCTACAATCCTGAAGCAGAACAGCTTCAGATGAACCTGCTCAGAAGAACCTACTAAGATTTCATAAATCGACCAAGACTTCAGACTGAAACTCCAAACCTGACGAGAGCTGAGATCTCTGAAGTTCTGCTGTTCAATAAGCAGCAGTCAGCCTGTAAGACTGAACACAGGGATTTAGTTTCTCTGAAACCGACTAAACATCCGAAGAGTTCATTTGCAAAAACAGAAAAGTGCATCTTCACAAACCTTCATAAACCCACGTTTCCATCGTCTACCTGAGACGACATCAATCAGTTGTCTCTGTTGTTGTCGTGTCAGATCCACTCAGCTTCAGTCTGACTGATATGATCTCAAGCAAACTACAACAAAAATAAGTTTTCTGAAAATCTACAAAAATTGAATAATCTGTTATCTCTTCATATAAGCAACTGGTTATGAATTAAGACCAACAGATGATTGATGTACACATAAATAAATGAGAACACGAGAGCTTAAAGAATATACGCAGTGAGTCGCTAATGAAGCCGAGGCTCCGATCCAAGGAGATGGAGACTTTGGTGATCTCTCAACTTTGGCAGCCTTGGTTTTAATATTTTATTTATTTTGTTTTAATCTAAATCTGACCAACCTTCTTATTGTTCCAGCTTCCTGCTCTCGGCCACGTACGGCATGTTTTCAGACAAACAGAAGCTTAGAGTTCATTTTATAGTATCGTATAAGAGAAAAGTGGACTCACTGTGGAGCTATACATACAGTTAACTGATTAAAAATAAAAACTTGCCGTGTGTTTATAATTATTCCTAACACATCGTATTGTGTTTTCAGTGCTGGGCTTTGATCAGATCCCTGTTTTATTAGATTGTATGTGGATCATTCTGTCAAACTGACTTTAAAGCTTTTTTTTTTTTGAATGTCGTGTTTGTATTCAATAAATCATAGTTATCATCTAAAGCAGTCCGATAAAGGTCTTGTGCTTGAAGGTTGAATTACCGTTTCACTTGATCTTAACATGAAAGCTGCACCTCAATATTCTTTGGAACTATGACTTGACTGTAAAAAGCTTTTTTCTTTATTTCTTAAGCCCATTAAAGCGTGCACAACACTGTGAATATTAAACTGTCTTAAATCGGGCGCGTTGAAACACAAATTACAAGGTAGTTTTACAAAACCAGCGACTAAAGAAGAAAACACGTAACTCGGGGCTGTGATCTGTTATTTGTGTCGCGGCTGCACAATCGGAGTGACGTTCCCGCCTCCTCCTCCTCCTCCGTCTGTCTGCAGGAGTCAGCTGCGTCGAGGAGAGCGGCGAGTCGGCCAACATGACCGAGTGCCTGCGATGGGCCGGCCCTTTGCCCCCTCAGGTCAGACGGTGCCGCGTGGCCTGCAAGGATGACTGCACCCTAACCGCATGGTCCAAGTTCTCTGAGTGCGCCGGATGTGGCAGCTCGCGGAGTCACCAGCGCTCACTCACAGGTAAAGATCCATCATCTGTGCAAGTGGAACAATTGGATTTTGGTGTTTGGTTAAGTGTCCTCGTGTTGTTTTTTGTTGGCAGGCGGTTAATAAATTAAAGCAGATGAAAGCTTGTATCAATGTGAGGTTGTGGCTACTTCCTGGAGGCAGCGTGTCCCAGTGCAGGCCTGATGTGTATTAAACCTGCCAAGGTAACCGTTTTGTTGGACGCCACTAATTGCAGCGTATTCTTCAGGTGCCGAAAAGCCTTTTTTGCGCTTTGACGTGCCGCAATTTACCACGGCCTCTTTTCTCCTTCTGGCTCTGTTACTGTAACTTTGGACTGTCCCTGTAGTGTTGTGTCAGGTCTAAATTAGGTCTCTCACAGCTTGTAATCTCTTATTTCAGTGCAGATGGCAAAATCTGAATTACATGCTGTGGTAGCAGACCGGGGTGGATACTATTTGTCTTCATGAATATTTTATCCGATGCCAGAGGGCTTGTAGTAAACATACCCTGTCTTCTTCTATAATGCTTCTGGAATCCAGCACATGAAATCAGCCTCAGCCCAGTGGTGGGTTTCTATAGGGAGAGTGTTTCCTCACGTTCATTGGCTCCTCGCAGTCATAATAGGTCAGTATTTCAACTCTTTTATGCCAACTTTACCACTTGCTTAAATTTCTCTGTCAGGAAAATTGATGGGAAGCGAAGCCGCAGTGGGTTTTATGCTGGAGAACGTGGTTAAGGAAGCTGGCAGCAGACCAAGGATTGTGCTTAGATGTTGTAAAGCCTTCCTTGAGCCATAATACACTATATTCTTTGTATCTAAACTGAAAGTCATTTTAAAAGGTCCAAAAGGCTATTTAACAAAACGCTGCTCGGTTGTAGCGCGTAGCCGTCGGATTTTCAGGGAAGGAAATAAAATCCCCATCAACTAAAGTCAACACATGTCAGTGGAGCGGCAGACATAAAGGTGGCTGCAGTAGATCAGTGCAGAGCAGTGGGAGGTACAGGGTACGCTAACCAACAACGCTGGATCCTTTACTGAAGAAAAACAACTAATACCACATTATTATAAAATAGAATGGAGTTATTCCATCTCTAATCATCAGCAGCCTTCTGCTTGACCGTCTCTGATTTGCTCATAACTCTTTTTTTTTTTATTGTAAACTCCATATTTAAGATGGTGTCTGTGAATCGTTAGCTTAATACTTTGAGGTTTTTCACCAAATTGCCCGCCGACTCTCTTTCAGCACATTTTTTTTTTTTGCACATTTAAATCCGAGGCTATATTGGGATGACAATATCTGAGGAACTATTAAAGATAAAAGCCAGAAACTTTCACTGTTATTTGTCATCAAGTAATGGATTCAGAATCTGTGATACGGAGCAAATAGATCAAAGAGTGTGTTTAGGATCCCGTCTGTGAGCACATAGTGACAAAAAGAAAATAGATAATGCAGAAGTCAACTTATTTTCTGCATATTACAAAATTAAACATATAAAATAAGACATATATTTTTATTTTCAGACCCTATTGTGTTCCCTTACCTTTTATATTTATTGAAGTCATAAACTTATCGGAAGAAATGCTAAACAGTGAACTCCATCTATTCTATATAAATAGAAATAGAAATAGAAATAGAAATACACACAGTGCACTTTAGCTGAGTCCAGTTTGTGGCATTTTTCTCGAAGGCCAAGTTTATTGTCATGTGAACACAAAGCAAGAGTCTTGGTGACGTAAATACATCAGATTATCATTAAATATATGCCGAGACGTGAACATTTCCCACCAGAACAGTCCAACTGTCCCCCAAATCTATGTGTTAAGTCATGGTTATATTAGGCTGATGCCATCCTGATGAGCCGATGCACCATCATCCTCAAAGAACTGACACAAAACTACACGACGAGTTTCCTCCAAGCAAAGATTTATGCCTACAAAATGGTAATAGTAGTATAATATAATAATATACAGTATAATAATATAATAAATAGTAAAAAATCAGAAGTCTGCAGTGTATTTGGAGAGCCATTTTAAAACGATCTGCCAATAGTATAAAATAAACCTCTACCAGGTCAATCAAATGTCAATATCAATGACCCAATAAGGAAAAATACTATTTAATGCAGAAAAAAATGTCCCCTGTGACTGTTCTGCTATCATATCATTAGCTTACTCATGCATTTATGTAAAAATAAAAATAAGAATAAAAATAAGAGCATAGTTTTACTGCTGTGGGTGGTAGACGTTCTGGTATGACATGATATTTATACTTCTCTCGGTCATGTAAATATGCAAAATAAATCTTGTATTCCAGATACGATGTACTTTGGTTCAACCTCTGCTGTTTTAATTACGCCATCAGGAATGGTGGCATGGCTTAATTAAAGCTGTCAGATAAGGTGAGGAGTACAATATGTCCCTCTGAAACGTGTATAAATAGAAATGAAAAGATTTAAATAAAGTTCTTCAAATTTACACTGAAGTACAGTAGTTGAGTAAAAGCACTTTTCACCGCTGAGGCTAGAAGCACTTTAGATTAATAACACGTATAAACAAGGTGGAAAATTCGGTATAAATGCATTTCCATAGTTGGAAATGTATTTGTAATTACCACCTATTACCTGTAACTACGATGTTGAACTGGCTGAAAGTACAAAAGGCAGAAAATGAGCAGCTGCTGTTCTGCTTGATCTCCTAAACACCTCCAAAAACCATCCATCGGTTTGGTATCTGACATATTTGGCGTCTCACTTTAAACTCACACAGAACCGCTCCAATCAGACACCTTAGACTCCAGCGCTGGCATGAACCGGAGAGCAGGTGACACTCCCCATTAGAGCAGCGCCGGCTCAGTAGTTAGCGCTGCTGCTTTTAGCGAGAACGTTCAGAACGTGAGTCGTCCCCAGGGTGGCTGCTGCTGCTGCTGCTGCCTGACTGCAGGAAATTTGCATGTTCACGCGATGCAGGTCTGCTGAAGGTTCTCTCAAGACATGCAGATGAGATGAACTGATAATTCTAAGTCGCCCAAAGGTGTGAATGCATTTGTCAGTCTGCGTATCGACTGTTCAGAATAAACCGCCACCACCTCCTGCTAAGTGTGT